GACGAGACCTAGAAATATAAATTTCGTATTCCTATTTATTAGCCAACTGGTTTAATTGTTTAGACCAACGCCTTGACACGAATCACGTCGAAAGGCTCCATAAATCTGTACAATAACTGCTTATGAAATCGTTCATTGCAGCGAGCTTAGAGCTCTAAACCGCTCATCTTTAGCACTAGAAGGGGCTTACTTATCGGGCGAATTTATGGTATTCTGTGGGCCGTTCAATTTACGATCCGGATTAAGTCAAACGCCCGGGGTCACAAGACCGTTTAGCCGGCGAAATATGCTCCGCTTCGAGAATGCATCGCCCGTTACAATATTAATTACCCGCCATTAGCAGCATCACTCAACTTTGAGCTGGAGCTAAGGAAAAGTCGAAACTATCTGTAAACCCATACGTCAATGCCGCTAAATCCACTTGTCAGTAGGAACACAAACGTGAGAATCGTTAGAAAGAAAAACAGAGGGACTTGAACTGAAACTGAAACAAAAACCGAACAAAAGCAAACGGCAAACAGATCGGGCAGCGAGGAAATATTGTCAGGCAACACTTTTTTAACCCCGTAGGTGTATATCTATCTATCTCCCAGATGTATCTGCATCTGCCCCAGTATCTATATCTGCAGCTTGCACTATACATAGCTTTTGCCTTTCTGCCGGAGATTTGTGGACGGGACACCTGCAACATTTGAGGGCCGTTTGTCGTTGTGTCAGCAAAAGACTTTTTTATGCTAAATACCGCCGCAGTTTATATTGATGACGATCCGAGACACAATGTGTTGTAGCCCCGATGCACTCATCCATCTATATACATATACACCTTCTATATATATCTCACTCTCCTGGAGAAACAACGAAATGTGTGACAAAACACCACAAGGAATTTTAATCCCAAAATGATTGATAATCATTTGCACGAGCGGAGTTGAATGGAGAAAAAGCTCTATCACGTTCCATTTGCCTAGGTGTAAAGTCCATGGGGTATTATCAGCACCGCCCAACATCGTCTTCATCACAATCATCATCATCATCATCGCCTTCGCCATCGTCATCATCTCGTCTGGGCTTTGTTTACTGCTAATGTTTGCACTTAATTCACCAGACAATGGGACTCGGGAGTGGCGGAGGGAAAAGCATTTTCTTTTGGCTTTTACTCGGCTAAAAATGGGTGGGGGGCTGGAGGGATTGTGCCTGCCAGGGCGAAAAGTCTAAATTATGTCGTTGCCGCCTGACTGTTGCATAGGAAAATGCATCATTTTGTAAGCTTAAGAAAAGACGATGCGCTTTTTGTGAATGGGCAACCGAGGTACTGGGAAAAATAAATGCAGAGAAGTACCTAAAAGGTGCTTTAAAAATAAATAGCTATAAGGTCATCAGTTTGAATTTGTATTTTAATGTTATTTGAATAATTTTCTAAAATATACAAATTTTAACTATTATTTTGACGATAGATATTTAAAAAGCATTAATATTTTAAATGCATATTTTCCAGAACATGGCAGATTTAAGAAATTTAAAAAATCTTAAGATCTAAACCTTGAAGAAAGCCCAGTTAGGACAAAAATAAAATGTCAAAAATATATATTAAGCAACTAAGAATTTATCAAAAATTCTAATAATATTTTGTATAGTTGTCCCTTGCAGTTTAAAAAACTTATGCTATATCATCCGACTGAAGTTAACCAGTATATTGTTTACACTTTACAAAATAGCAGCTGTTTTATTTCCATGTCCAATCATTTGTTTGAGGCTCACACCTTTTCTGTGGACCGGATAATTTCCAACACCTCAAACTATTTAGCCTGTGACAAATTTTCCTCCGTTCATTTCGACCTGACGATGAGTTGAAAATGTGACAAAAGTTGATTTAATTTATCATGATAGGCTGGATTAGTGCGATGAATTTTACAAAAGTTTATTTTTAACACGTTGCGACATTGACAATGCCAGCAGGTTGAAGCGAAGTCGCTGGCTAATGCCAAAATTTATTGACTTTCAAATGGTGGATGCATTGTGTTGCTCGTGCCTACTGAATTAGTTTGTGCCACTTTCCCAGTCATAAGCAGAAAGGCTGAAAGGCGGGATTATGGCACCGCTTTGGGGATACTCTATTGGAAATTAAATGTTATAGGTTTATATACATCTGCATTATGCATGAATATCTCTTTCCTGCTTGAAGCCAAAATCAAAAAAAAACAGGACGCCTTGGCCCGAAGCACGCCTTTCTGACAAATCAACCACGCCCATAAGCAACAAAGTTTTCTTTTGGCCTAAGTGTTTGTAATTGTTATTGCTGAAAACTTGTTCTTTCACTTTGGCCTGCAAGCGCGAACTTTATGGCTACACCTACCCATCGAGAGCCGTACGAAAAGCAACGGCAGATGATCATCTCGAACCCTGTATCGGGTTCTAGCGGTAAATAAAGTTTTGGCCAACCAGCCGCGCCCACAAAACGACGAAGACCACCTAATGAAAAGTGGCCAGTATATGGCAGAACCCCTTGGTCCGCATTTTTCTGGGTGCAGTACAAGTTAAATATTAAGAAATTACAAGACACCGAAGCTTGCCCCACGCATTATGCGGAAATTAATTTGCGCGTTCGGTTCGGCAAATTTAATTCAATATTTTTAACAGCTTTCTGGCCAACGCGGGCTTAACACGCCCCGAAACGAAAGTTGACCCACTGCGAGGATTCGGCGGGATTTTATATACCCCGGCCAACACGAATTAAGACATAATAAAGCTGTCCCTCGGTCGAGGCCTCTTTTTTGGCCCATCCGTCAAGATTGCTCCTCTGGCTGTGCGGGGCGTGTAATTCACTCCAAACACCTCCGAAGTTCGAGGCCACCAGACTGACGAGAACCCAGACCCGACTTGACAAGACGTTGGCTTAAACTCTCTGGCTCTTTTTGAGGGATAATTTTTGGCCACAGCCAAATATCTGGGCCCAGTAAGGGGATGGTGGCTGCTTGACAAACGAGTGTCATTTATCAAAATGTGACACTATTTGCGCCAAGTCATGTGTTAACTGCACTTTATTTTATTGTTATACCCTGTGTGGGTTGTCGGTGTGTCTTGTGCTGACTTGGCCCACAGGAACGCAAAGGGCTGGGGCTCCTTCTCAGTTTCAGTTTCTGTTACAGTCTCAGTCGCTCCCTTTGAGTGCTCTCATAAAATATATATCATAATTGAGGGTTATGATGTTTTTCGTTCTTTTCGGGAATAAGCCAACAAGTACAGCCATCGACTTGGCCACCAGGATGAGAAATGGCCAGATTGAGATATGACCGTGTGAGGGAGAAAAATTCCGACTGCCACCCGTGGGCCATTCCAAAAACTGATTCATGCTAAGAAAACTAGATTTTTTATAACTTCAACTGATTTCAAAACTTTTTACTAAAATATATGAGCTAATAAAGTCATATCAGCTAAAATAAAGAGAAAACTTTGCCAAATACTCGAGTGTCCCAGCAGAACATTTTTAGGTATAAACATTAATTGAGGAATTTTCGGGATTTTATCCCCGGCATAAAAGAAGCAATTTTTTCCTTTCCAATTTGTGTTTTTTGGGCGCGACCGGCATTTAATGCCAATACTATAAATATTATGATTATGTGGCCCGTACATGAACGCAGTTATACATTTTGCGCGTCCGCCGCTCTTAAATGTTATTTTTACCAAAAAAAGAAAAGGAGAATAATAAAGGTATATAAAAACGCAGCGGAGAAAAAGCCAAAAACCAAAGAGCGAAAAGTAATTTCTTGCACGACATTAATTTCTTTTAAATTACGCATAATTGAAGTACGGGCACTCGAAGTTGATCGATGGCCGAGTCGAAAACGAGTTATTCCCCGGCATATTTTTTCTGAGGTGCGGTGCACAGCCCCGCCTCCTCTTCCGCCTCCTCCTCGTTGATCGGAGAGAAATTACAAAAATATTGCTCTGCCATAATAATATGATTTTTCGTTTGTTCGCTGTTTTTTCTGTTCGTTGATTTTTCCATATGAGTCCAAGTTCTTAGGGCGACATTGACATTCGAATTGGACACCTGACAGCAGAATATCAAAGTCACTTGGGGACTTGGCCGTAATTCGACGAATTCTTCTATTCCCCATTGAAGCCTTGGCTCTATTTGAAATTTGATTTGATTTCGGCTCACTCTTTTCTGGGCTCTTTTTGTGTTCGTGGGCTGACCTGTCAGTCAGTATGAAATTTCATATTGTTGTCTACGGGGTCTCAGCGGTATTTAGTTTTTATTTGGGCCTGCTTTAGGGGCTTTGTTAGCGCGATAAGCGGATTTTTTATTACATCAGTTTAGTGTCACATTAGCGCTGTGCCGAAGTGCGCCCATGCATTTAGCTGGAATCTTTGTGGGGGCGACAGATTTGTATATCGGAGCCAATGAATGGCTGAAGTACTTATATACAATATAGCCACAACTCAGACTGCTCAACAAGTTCTTCCGTCATCCGAATCTGCAATCTGCATCGGGATCTGCGCCTCGCCTGCAGCTCTTTGCCACACGTACGAAAACGCATCCACATGCCAGTAAAACCAAGTCGAATCACATAAAATCTTTCAGCGGAAAGCGCAGGGAACTTATGAATTTCTTAATTTTTGCAAAGCTCACTGGCACCGAGGAGTTGCCCTGTTGTCTTTTTTATGGCATTTCGTTTTGCCGCGATGCTATCAGTTGGTTTTTGTTTCAGGTTTGGTCTTTAAACTGTCTCGAATCCAGTGGTCGGTGGGTCGATTCACCGCATGAATCATAAGCCAGTTAAAACGGAATTCCTAAATGTTCGTTTACGTTACTTACTCGGCAGGGTCAACGTATTTGGCACTTGTAACCTAATTTAATTCCTCGAAAACAATAATTATCAGCACGCCAAATCGGTGGTAAATTGTAAATTAAATGGGCCCAAGAGAAAACAGCCAGTGTGATAAATCTTAAATTTTATTTATTTTTATTTCATTGCTATCAGGCTTTTCCTGATATATCAAAAATTCAGAAAACATTAAAATGGTTAGACTAGTGGGCTGTTGCTATTTCTTTGGCCTGCGCACTGGATGCATAATTAGTGCTCTATGGCTACTCTCTTATTACGGAGCCTTGGCTTACTTCATGTATTACCAAATGAAGCATACGCAAAGAGCCACGGTGATTCAAGAATCCCGTGAGTACGACAAGGAAACACTTGGCTTTTGGGTACTGGGCATTGCATTTATCGTGATGGGTTGTACAACTCTGCTTCTGGTCTACGGAACCCTTAGGGTAATTATATCTTAGCTTTTATTATAATTTACTAAAACATATTCTATGCAGAAGAAATATGTTTTCCTTTTTCTGTTTCTGGTGGCACAGTGGGTTCCCATTTCGGTGGAATTATATTATTTGCTGACAGCTATTATTTATGGTATTGAATTCGAATGTTTTGTAATTTATCTCGTACCCTTGGGTAAGTAAATTCTACTTAAGAAATGTTTCATTGCTAATTTAACAAGTATTGAGTACTTCAGTACTTTTGTTCTACATGGATCTGGTGGTATATTCCTATTTTTATGAATTGAGAAGTCTTAAGAGATTGAGAGCTGTATCAGAAATAAATATAGAATACTAAAATTACTTTGCCAATGAAGTTCTGAAGCGATTTGATAATTTTTGAGATCACATACCACTTTTTCCGGTAGAGCACACACATAAGACAGCGATAAGGTTGGATGACTTGGGACCAGGAAAACATGTCAAGAAATAAAAACAAAAATGATTTATCATAATGGGAGTTGGAGTCTGAGTCGGGGCCCAATTCGGAATTGGAATTGGAGTTGGAGTCTGAGCTCCCAGCGGCGTTGCCTAAACGGGCGATAACGGCCAAGAAGAGACCAATACCAAGATCCAGACCAAGACGAAGACGAAGACGGCATGCGGCTGCTGATGGCGACGAACGAGGAGATATCGGGCCCAGAACGGTGCGTCTGGATGTCAACTCTTCATATAAAAATTAACGAAATATAAATTAAAAAATATGCCCTACCTCTTCTTGACTGGGCCATGAAATAAAAACCAGAAATATTCGTTTCGGCTGCGCTCGTTCTGTGTACGCTTTTGGTTTTGTTCCCTTTCCCGGCTGGCGATTTACGAGTATGTCCCTTCTGGTTTCGAGTTACGCCTGCGCGACATTGTTGCTGAGGCACAGAGAGAAAATATTAAAAAACTTATTAAATTGATAGATTGCAAGATTTTATTTGTAAGATTTCTTTCAAGTCGATGAATATTTGTATTATATTTACCGAAAAATTACAGTAATATAACGATTAAATTACTTTTAAAAGAGAAATACCTTTTTATTAATATTTCTTGATCAGTTTTTCTCAGTGTGAGACCCAAAAACTCACTTCACGAATTATGAATTGGCCGCTGTCTGTCGCCTTATCGGTGGAATGCATCGCTGCGTTTAAGGCTTTATCTATGGGACAGTGAATTTTTATCTAATGGAGGCAGCTTCTACCCATTGATTGGGGTCCCGTTTTCGGGCTCCGATTTCATTTCTGACTTATGACAGGGTCGTATCGGCTCAGCCTTGCGCTCTGATAGCTTCATAAGCTGCGATAAGGCCGAGTTCGAATTCGAATCCGAACGCGCTAATTGCTAGCAAAACTCCAGGCGCCAGCGGAATCAAGGGATTGGCTCTGACAGATCTCAGGTGTATGCCGAATGCCGGACTCGGTATCACCTGCGTGTTATCGCCAGACAAATGCATTTTGCAAATTATTAACATATGTGGCGGCTGTTACACGACCGGGCCAACACCAACCGACGACCGACCAGCAGCGGCAACAAGCTTGTGCAGATACAGATACATTTGTATCTGACGCCAGTGGGTAGGAAGCCGGCTCGGGATTTCGCGGCTCTGGCTGCGGCTAATTGATGTCGGTGCATAAAACTTGATTTATTTCTATTAATAAAGCCCCCATGCAAACGGTAGTTGGTCGATCTATCGAGGGAGGGAGGGGGTTTCGAGGTGTCGATTCGGTCAGATGGCGATACATTTTTGGCTGCCTTATTTGGATGTCCGAAATGCCCGATGGAAAATGGGAAAGCCCCATGCAAGCAATAATACAAACTGTTCTTATTATCTGTTGGTTAGGTGGTACCAATTTCCAATCGGGGCCAATAAATTGCTTGTTTAGCCACAATTACACACGTGAACAGCCGCCGAAAAAGTGGCCAGCCAGCCAGCCAATGCAAAAGCATCAGAAATAATCTGGCAAAACTTGTTACCGCTGTTGTCGATAGGAATCGCATAGAAACTCGGTTGCATAAATTTTAACACCGATTTTAATCGACGCATTGTGGAGCGGCCATACACTCAGAAAAAAACGCATCCTAAATTTGAGCGCGATTTATACTTGATTTCGGATAGTATTTTTTGGGCTTGTTTTAAGAATGAGAATGTTGGGCGTTCTTGAATTAAGAATAAATCATTCTTAAAACCCAAATTATCCGCAAATGTTCTTGATTCCAGAACATAATTCAATAAACAGGACTAAACAAGAACGATTTATCCTAAACCCAAGTATAATTTATTCTAAAAAATAATTTTCATGGTAAGCACAAACATTCTTAATTTGATTACTAAAAGTACTTAATTCCAGAAAATTAGGTTTTAGTATTCTGTAAATAAGAATGAATTATTCTCATCAGTAGTATTAAAATTAAAAAATAAAAAGCATTTTGACAAGTACAATTTGTGCTTAAGCCAATGTTAAAATGTACTAATTAATTTAGTTAACGAGTACCAATATTGATTAAAGTAAAATAGAATTGGCGCTAGACTAAAAAAGATTAGTTCACAATAACTGTATAATGTAGGTACATATGTTTATAAAACACAAGTAGTTCAATATTATTAAAAATTAAGAGTTAGATCCTCAAAACAAGCAAATTTTGTTAAATCGGAGAAAATTTTGAAATTAATAATTGTTATTAAATACTGTGAAAAACGTGCATCATATATGCCAAAATACGATTCGATTTGAAAAACATTTAAATTCATAGCTAAGAAATAAATTCTCAAAACAAGCCGATTTTATGTTTAAATCGGGGAGAAAATAGCAAATTACGGATTTTGTGTCACTCCATTTTTAACTTGTTAAGAGGTGTTTTTGTTTTATATTATTTAAAACTAAGAATTAAATTCTCAAAACAAGTACACGTTGTACTTAAATTAAGTATGCAAATAAAAAGTACTTATGTAGGTTTTTGGTCATCGCCGCGTAAGAGCGAGCGTGGCCGAGCTGTTAGAACGTCCTACTGTGGTGAGTGAGGTTGCGGGATCGAATCCTGGGAGAGGTATGTGATTTTAAGAAAAATGTTTCGTAAGTATAAAACACATTTTTATCTACAAATCTTTATACATTTATGAGTAATTAAGTTTAAGATTATACAAAATAAGTATTGTTAACTAATAAAACAACACAATGATTTATACTATTAGTTTAAGAATATTTCATACTTCATTTGGGCATAGCTTATACCTCATTTACAAGTAAATCGGATTAAATTTGTACAAATAATAATATTAACCCTTCACTCTAAAGCAATTTTCATTAAATTTTTAAAATTGTTTTTTTATTTTTTACATTATTTGAGTAGAATTTATACTTAATTTAAGTATAATTAATTCTGGGTTCAAGAACATTTCATACTTAATTACGCCCGAAAATGTTCTCAAATTAAGAATGTCGGTTTAAGAATAAAACGTTCTTGAAATGAAAAAACAAGCCCATTTCGTACCTGTCGCCCTTTCAAGACCATTTGGGCTTGAAACAAGCACAATGTGCTTGGTTTTTTTTCTGAGTGTAGACAGGCCATTGAGTCCCGCCGATATTCCGGCCAACTCCGACACTTTATGGCCAGCTTTTCGGTGGTAATTACCAGCCAGCAGCAGTTCCGGTGTGTGTGTGTGTTCGGGGCTTGGCAAATGCAAACTATAATTTCGTTATAAATTATTGATATGTCAAATCAAATTCTCGGCCAGTTTTCTGTTCGATGGAGTTGAGCCCAAGATTTATGAGCTGCAATTTAAGTTGGTGGGAGAGATTGGGAAATTTGGGTACACTACAGTATCTTATTGAATTTATAAAAGCATTTTACGCCGCTTAAATTAGAGAGGCGCATAAAAGCTAATTATATTTAATATCTTAACAATTATTATTAGCAAATTTGTTGTCTTAAGTTACATTTAATTATATCGAAATATTTTTGTTTTCAAACATATTTTATTAGGCAAATATTTTAAACATAAATTACTAAAATTATTATTGAGTAAATTTAAAAAAAAAATCAAGGTTTACGTTAAAGTTAAACCCTCAAAACTCTTCCAGTAAACCTCGCCTATAAACGTATATTTCTTTTAGATGAGGAAATACTTGGTCCGGCAAGACAGATTACGACCACGGTGTCTGCGGCCGGCGGACATTTACAACACTTTGCTCTACAAGGCGTTGCGGAAAATACGCAGCGCTTTTTCCTGTTTTCCCGACATGCAATTTTCCATTGAGTTACCTCATGTTTGCTTGGGCCTTGCTATTGCTTTAGCTTCGCTTTTGCTTCTTGCTTTTATTTCCCTCTTGACATAACTGGAGCGTTTTGGGCCAAAAGCATAGCCATTGCCATAGACTCAACCTGATTTGGCAGCCCGTCGACCCCACTTGGGCGCTCTGTCTAACAAAATGCCCGGCCGCTTGTCTCGGCCATTTGCATTTCGATCTCTGGCGGCTAACTGGCCTGCCCGGCCAGCAAATCCAACAAATCCTATCGTAATAAAAGTTTTCGCCACAAAATTACAAGCTCCGCGAGGCGGGGGAGGACATGTGGTCTCCGAGATACATGGGCTGTGTACCATACCATACCATATACCAAACCATACTATACCAACCCAGGTCCGCATTCGCAGCAGCAGTTGAACCACATTAGACTTTCACTTTTCGAGCCGCACACAAATGGCCATTTGGGCATTTTAGCATTTTAGCCGGCCGACTGCGCTTTAAATTTATGTTGATTGGCCGATTTGGCTTTTTCGGTTAAATGTTGTTAAATTGTTTTCCGCCAAAATGACATGTTTTGACAAATGGCGCGGTGCATTAACCACTCGACTACTTGTTGAGTTGTCATTTAAATTCTTATTGAGATTGTTTCGGTTTCGTTCTTGGAACACAGCAACCTAATAAATCCGGGGATTAAGTTTTGGTTTTTTATGCATCCCAGCGGTCATAAAACATCGAGTCCTTTGACAATGCCGAACGTAGTGGAACGGCCCACAAATAAATACTAATAAAGCATGGAGACAGGACACGAGAGTTTGGTGATTGCCCGGTTAGGCCGTCCTTCCTTTCGCGTACTACATAAATATCAATATTTATGGCCGACACACAGCAACACATGGCCAGGATAAACATCCAGGGAACAAACTACCAAAGAAAAAGCGAAATAAGGCCAAGCGGAATTGCGATTCGGATTTGTGGGCGTTTGACACAGCAGCCGGCCGCTTCTGGGCGTAACCCAAATAGAGGCGTTGACGTTACTCTTTTCCCGCCGACTTTCGACCCATCCCGAATATACGACTCTCGATTCTGGCTAACTAACGGCCGGCCAAAAGGGATCAGAAATCAGATCGGAGGACCTAGGCATTGCGCAAAGGCCCGGGAATCATCGTAAATCGCTGCGACATAAATTCAGTGCACTTTTTGACGTTTTGC